AGTTTACAAGAAAAAAAAAATGCTATATTTAAAATGCAGCATATACTTTTTTTTCCAGATGGATGGAAATTAAATTGTTCCTCATGGTATATCGATTTTGGCATCGGAATCGGCTGTTCTTCGTTATTTTTTCATACATTAATGTTGTTGGGCCCTATGTAAAGCACTAAAATGCATCTTTCTATTTATAAATATAAATATTAGTGTATTATTGTTCTCTTTTGTTCTTAACAATAGGAAAGCATTAAATTAATAGATGTTTGAGCTCATTTTTGTAAAATACAAAAACCTAATGAGAGCGTTCAGGTGTAACTGTAGGTCCATCAGCACCCCCCCACCCCCCGAATGTCCCCACCAACTTTCATTACAAACTTACAGCAACTATTTTCATTCATTTCAGACATAAATATTCACATACTTGGAATATATTAAACTGCATTTCCAATATTCACCACTGTTTGGCGCCATTTTGCTTTTTTCTCTGATCACGGAGCAGCCAGCTAGCTTGGACTCGCAATGAATCATGGGATACCCAAAGCTACAGAGGATACGGCAGACCCAGGCTTCAAAACGGGCAAAAAGAAGGACGCATTAGTCAGCCGCATGAGGAGTCTTCCAATCCTCACAGGCCTCAGCGCCGCGCTATGATGTCATCGGCTGACGAATCTGGCCTTTAGAGGAGGCAGCCCAAGAATTAATCACTGCTGTACATTCTGACCTTTTCCTTTGGGTTCAGCTTGCTATTATCCTTTAGCTGTTGATTTGGATATAATGCTTTACAAAAGTTCATTTTATTATTTAAAACCTTAAAAAAAAGTTAAATCTAAAAGGGTTTAAGGTTCCTTAAAGTCCCTAGAAAGGGAAACACAATTAGAACGGAGTACTTGTGGATAAAACATTAACCTGCTTTTCATCAAGCGCTTCGTATTTAGCGACAATGTTCTGGACTTCGTTGACAGCATCATCTGACTGGTCTTCTGTGAAGGAACTTTCTTCGTGGAACAAGCCGATGTTGAGATTAGCAAGGCCGCCGTATTCGTGCTGCAGAAGCTCCAGGTAGTATCTAGAGAAAGTAGAGCTGTTTATAATCATGACATAAGGAGCTGTAGTTTAATGTGTCAGGAAACTTTCTTACGGTTTTCCTTTCTCCAGAAAAATCACTTCAGATCTTTGGGACTCCAGCTGGAAGTAGTCTCTGACATATCTTGGCTGAAAAGCAACTTTCACCTGGAATTAAAAAGTCCAAACGTCAAAGCAGGTCAAAATATGCAAAAGCCGCTAAACGGTGAGACAATCAGTAGGTCTCACCTTGTCTTCCGGCCGACTGGAGTTGCTGAGGTACAGATCACAGCGGTCATCACAGTGCAGGTATATGTTGAAGTTTCCGCTGACCGCAGGCACAAAGAAGCCTCTGGTTCGAGTGGCAAACAGGTCGTATTCATTAGGAAAGCTGTAAGGCAGCGAGTCGATCCACTGTGACCAGTAACCCGTTGTGTTCTCGTTGTAGCTCCAGATTTCATCCAAGGAACTTGGCCGTTTGTTGCTCCACACTTCCATCTTCAGTCCTCGCCCACCTGCAAGAACGGCGGACAAAGCTAAATGTAAGTCTCTCTCATGGTAGAGCCAAGGAGAAACTTTGCTCTACCTTTCATATACCTCATCCAAAATACTCAGGTTATCCTGAGCTATCTCTATAGTTCTGCTGCTATAGGCTTAGACTGCTGGAGGACATAGGGACCCCTTTTTC